AGCAACTTGGCGCTTTCCAAAGTCGAATTTGCAGAAGTTTTAACAGCACATTTGATAGTTTGAACTGAGGCATGTAAGAGCTGTAGAGCATTCTGAGGAGAGGCTGTGTTTTCCTGTAATGAAAATCCTGCTATCTCTGATGAGAAGCGTGCTGCACTGTCACACCTGGCTCGTTGGAGATGCTCCAAGCGAGGCCTGTCCTGGAGGATCCGCAGAGATGGGACCGGGAGCCGGAGCCTGTCTGTGCCAAGGGCTGCACGGGGAGCTCGGCAGCCGTGTTACAGCAGGGCTGGGAGCCCTGGGCTGCCAGACTCACCCCTCTTCTCATATCCTCGCTATGGAGACTCAATGGGAAAAGTTTGGATTACAGCTGTGGCTCTGGAAGATGCCAGAACTTCCTTAATTTGCCTCTGCCCTGGCAGATGTTCCTGCAGCTGTCTAACCTGATCTGACTGTCCTGCTGCCACCCTTGCCCTGTGTCTCACACCCAGCAATTTTGTTGGCTTCGACTGACAAGGAACTGCAGCTTTTGGAAAAAACTTATAATTTCCTTCTGTTTTTTAAAGCTTACTTATCAATGAGCACCAAGAACCATTGTCGGAAACCAACTTTTCAAAACAACGATGGCACTTTGAGCTTCAAATTACGTATATAAACAAAAAGTTACTTCTGATGTCTTCCTCAACTCCTTTTGTGTCTTCAGTTCCAAAGCTGATGAAATTGACTTTTGTTTACAGTGATTTTTTTTTCATTCCTGAATTAATTTGCTGTTTTATAAAGCCTCAGCCTTTGTCAGGTATTTGTCAGGGATGTCTGGTATGATTCCCCTGCCTCTGGCATGTGTTCTCTCCTGTTCTGTTTGGGAGCAGTGCTGAGGCATCTCCCAGCAGGCCATTAATGCTATTAATGATTTACCAGCCTGGGTGACCCTCGGGCTTTATTTAGCATGAGGAATTGTCAGACTTATTTCTGGGGTATTGCTCATTTGTGGGTGGTCATTCTCCTGGGGGATAAAGTGGAGAAATTGGGCAAAGCTGGCAGCTTCCCTCTGGGAGGTGGTGCCATCCTGCCCTGGGACAGCCCTGGCTCAGGGGTGCCAGCAGCTCTCCATCTGCGTTTTGGCAGCCCATGTTTCCCTCCATGTTCAGGCTCTAGGTTGAGCCTTAATTTAAAAAATTGAAGAATGCATATTCAAGGAGTTTGTGAAGCAAGCAGCTGCAAGGCAAACAAGATTTTTTCCATATGGTGTCATATAGACCAAATGGAAGTGTACAACAATAGTAACAAAACTATTGGTATTGCTCAATTCAAGTGTTTTTGAGAAAGCAGATGGATTCCAACAGTCATTTCAAGGTTTTTCTGAAAGCATGGTGAATGCTCCTTGAAGTGTGAAAAATATTATGCTTAAGCAAATATTAGTAATAAAATTAGTAAAAATATAATTCACAAAATGTCAGGTGTACTTCATCATGAGTAAAGATCTTGAAAGCCCTAAATGAATGTGTAGTCCTGGTTTCTGCACATTAGCTTTTATGACTTGGGTACCTTTTCCCAATTTCCTAGGTGCCTTTTTAGATTTAATTGCGAAACCGAATATGTTAACAGATGGTTAAATTGTCTAATGGGAACATTATTCATTCTCTGAGCTGAAGAACAGAGGTTGTAGGAGTGAATTCTATTTTGTGACTAAGACCTAAATTCAAGATGCAGACGACTTTTTGTACTTCAGCAATTATCCAGTTTGGGCTTTGTCCCTTTAAACTGCCTTGGTTCAGGTGCTCGTATGGGGAGTTATTCCTCTCCTGGTTGTGTTTGAAAAGCTCTCCTTGATTGGAGCTTTACCACAGCTTCTGCAGGCATTGAGGTAAATGTTAGAAAATGGCAATACCAGCTCAGTTTAAAACAAAAGACAAAACCTGCAAGTTAAGAGAAGGTCGCGTTCCTGATTGTTACCCCTAGAACTCGAGCTTTGCTGTGAGCTGCTCCTTGAGCTAGCAGCCTGTGGGCAGAAATTGGGTGTTCCAGCACACCAGGACCTGCCTGGGCAGTGGAGTGAAAATCAGTTTGGAAGTGACTGAGCTGGTCACTGTTCAATCCTGAGTGTGTGATCTGGGAGTTACTGCTGCTTTGGTTTTTGTGGTGAGAGGGAGATTCCTGAGCATAACAGTAAAGGACATGGCAAAGTAATACTTGAATATAATCAATCCATGTAAATGCACCTCAGTTTGCAGCTCATGGCCAGCTTAAGGGATTTGGAAGGCTTTATAATAACACAAGTTAGAAAAATGTATAAAAAAGTAGACTTGCTGTGAGTTTTGTATTAAAAGTTGATGCAATCACCTCAAGTAATTTAGTTCTGTGAATATGATATTGCTGCTGCTGTAGCCTGCATTGTTTGCATGAGGAAGCAATGCTTTCTGCATCAAGAAATGTAGTGATCTGTGAATCTCTTTCTACTGTTTTCATGTGCAAGATTTCAATTACTCTGAATATTCACTTGGCTGAGACCTTTTGAGATAAAAGAATTGTCTGGTGCAGTTGCATTAGAATATGCTATTATTTTTGTGTGCTTTACTGTCATGATCTGTCTGTACTTATGAGAGATACACAGAGTAAATGAAAACTGGGAAGAGTGAATAGAAAATGATATTAACCATTGATAGCCTGGAAAGGCTGTGCTGTAAGGAAGGCACTCTATCACTTAAGAACTAAGTCAACCAGTAGGAAATAATTCTTTGGTATAGATACTGAAGAAATTTTGTGGTTTGTGTTGATATTATAGTTCAGAGAGAGATGATCTATAGCTGTCTTAAATTGTATATGTATTTATACTTGGAAATGTTAATTTGTTATCCCTTATCTGCAAATGTTTCCTTGGAGATTTTTGTGAAACCTTTTCTCTTGGGCTGCTCCTGCAAACAGGAACTCAGTGTATTTAGGAAGTCAGGAAGGTGTAGATTTTTCTGTCTTGTGTTGCTCTAGAGGGTTGTCTCATAGATGGCGGAAAGAATAATGCCAGAGGACTACAAAATCAGCAATATCTTAAATTTCCTTCTAGGGAGGTAAACTGCTTTTGGGTTATGTTCTGAAATCAGCCTGGAAGTGCAATTTCTTTGTTAGTACAAGAGATTGTCAAAACTGTGTGAGGATCTGCAGGTACAGAACTGCCTTGGCTTTGCCTCCAGCTACTTGAAGTGTCTCTCCCACCTGTTAAATGTGCTGCTTATCTCGAGTGGCTGCTGGCAGCAGTGGAGCTTGTGCACCACAAGGATATCTGGGAAGAGTGCTTGCGGGGTCTGAAAAAATGCAGCATGCTATCTTGTTTTAGTATTCTGTGTTTTGCCCAGAGGAGTTTGAGTGACAAAAGCAATATAAGTGTAGAGATGGGGTAGATGATCCTGTTCCAGCTTCTGGCAGAGATTGACAGTACTTAAATGAGAAGGGAAAAGAAAATTCTCATACAAATAGCTCCTAAAATGCATATGGAGTTCCAGGACTTCTTGCTTGCCTGGCTGTCTCTGGGTTAAGAACAGGGTTAGGCTTTACTTCATTTTTGTCTGTAATCTCAATTAAAAGGTTTATTTACCACAGTGGTAAGTGAACATCTTAGTATGGCATTTATCATCTTGAAACCAGAACTAAGTCCAGCAGAGGAGAGCACAGCAGAGGTGTAAGGAAGGGTGTTGAGATGTGATCTGGTAGATGAGAGGTTGGTGTCAACATCTGGATGTGCAGATGTCTGTACTGGCTTAGGCTCAGGTGGGGTTTGTGCAGAGCAGCTCATCCAGTGCTGTGTCCTAGGTTTGTGACCAAAACAGCCTTGGCAGAGAGAACCCCGGTGCTTCAGCTTCTGCTGAACAGCCCTTCCCAGTCCCCAGGGTTTCTGCTGCTTGTGAGCTTCCACCAGGAGCGGGCTGGGTGGTCTGGAGGTGGGGACAGCCAGGACAGCCCATCCCCAGTGACCAAAGATCCCAAAATGTGTCACATCGTGCTGGGCAGTAAAGGCAGGGCTGCAGGGTGGGGAGGAGGAGTTTTTTCCAAATCATCAGGTGCTCAGAAGCTGGGTAGGCATTGGCCTGCTGGTACCAAGTGATGGCTTTTTGTTTCTCTTTTTTCCCCATCAGTTATTACATTGTCTTTATAGCTCAACCATCAAGTTTTTCTTGCTGTTGTGCTTCTGATTGGCTGCATGGTCCTGCTGGGAGGGAGCAAGTGACTGTGCAGGGACTGACCCATGAGTCAGGGTCAGTCCTCTCTGCTGTCCCATGGACTTGTGAATGCTTCTCAAATTCTGTACCCCCAGGAGTTCTAGCCCTTAACTCCTCCTATTCGTGACTGCTTTTTGTCAATTGAGCAAAGTTCACGAACCAAATGCTTCCTTGATAATGATTGTTGATACTGGTGTGCAATGTGGGTGGCTTTTTTGGCCACGAATAAAGATGTAACGTTGGTGATTGTTGTCAGAAGGGTTTTCCTGCTTAGGAAGAAGTGACAGGGCAAAAGGGAGGGAGAGTGGTTTGTGCCTCATCAGTGCATGGACTTGTGCCAGTTCATCTGCAGACTGCTGTGACTCAGTGTCCAGGAGCAATTGGCACAAGTCTGGGCACAGGGAAGAGCCTGGGCAGGGCTCAGCTCTGAGCTCAGAGCCCCGTGGCTCTGCTGACGCACTCGGGAGTCCAGGAGTCCGTGTTTGTTTTGGAAACCGTGCAGAGAGACCTGGCTGCTCCTTGGTGCAGGCCTGGGGTGCTGGAGCACTGCAGGCTTCAGCTTCGTGGATTGCATCCTCAGAGGATAAGGTGCAATGGGATGCAATCCTGAATTTTCACAGGAAAGGCAGCAGGTTCCATTTGCCTGCAGGTTTTTTAGAGCACTCAGTGACATTTCAAATGTTGTTTTAATATTCAAATACATGAAATAGATTTCTTTATTCTTAAGCAGTAGGTAACGCTGTCTTTTTTTCTTTGATTTGTGTGTGTTGTTTTTTTGTTTTTTTTTAATAGAATATTCAAATAAAAACTTTGGCAGATGATGTGGTAAGGTCTTTGTAGCATCTTAATTTGCAATGGTAACTCCACGCTGCATGCTACTTTACTCAATGTTGTGGACAAAATAACATTCTTATAAGGATATTAAGCATTAGATTTCAGAAAATTGAGTGACTATTTCTAAAGATCTTGATTTGTAACTTCGGTTGAAGCAGATTAATCATGATTTCTATTTGGAGAAACTTCCTTGTGCACATTTCAAATACCTTAGTAATCCTGTGGCTGTGTTGAAACTGTTACTCAATAGTTGAAGTTATTTCTCTTGACCTTCTCCTTGCCAGTAAATGATCTGCAGTGGTTCTTCAAAGTTGGTTGCCACATGATTCAAGTGGAACCATTTTGGGTGATGAATGTGTACTGAGTGCCAAAAAGCAAGTTTGTATTCAGTAGCACTAACTTGCTAAAGCTGAATACTTTCCAACTGGTTCCAAAGTATTTTTTTCAGAAACTTCTATCAAAATTGATTTCATTAAAATTGCAGCCTTGTATCATATGTGCATATATATATAAAATAAAGCCAGAGTGGTTCTGTAGTTAATGATTGTGTGCACATCTGAAATAAGGAAATGGTGCCTGGTAATCACATTGGAAATTCCTTTGTATCTTTCAAGTGATCTCACCAGTGCAATCTCATTGAACAAATTTGTTGTTAATAAGTTATACTTGAAACAGATGACAGTGTGGTGAAATTGGATTTTAAATGACTTTTTATGACTGTTGAATGGTCAACATATAACTGCATTTGGCTAAATTTGGGTACTGGCCTTTTCCACCAGGCTATGCCCTAATTTTAGTTTCCAAAAATGTAATATATTCTAGTAAGGTAGAAAATGGATTAAAGTAATATACTTGCTTTGTCAAAGACATGAGCAGTATCCTTGTAGGTATTGTGCTTCTGTCCACAAATATAAAAATGTCTAAGAAAGAAGAAAACTCCCCTGCCACCCTTCCCTCAAAAAAAAAAAACTCAAAAGAACTTGACAGGGAATGCAGCTTATCTAGGGACACTTTCTTAAAGAAATTTAAGGTAATCTTGTAGGATCTCAAAAATAACAACAAAAACAATGAAGAACAGCAATTAAAAATAAACAAAACAGAAAAATAATCTTTCCTCTCCATACTCCACAGCTCTTGCTCTAGTGTCTCCACTTTGGACTTGCCAATCTAAAATGAATCAAAATTTTTGCAAATGAAATACTCCAGAAAAATCTGACATTTCACACCTTGGAGAGCTCCTTTAATTGTAGCCAATATAAATTTTGGTTGACATGTTTTGGTGGAGATAACTGCTATGAATGATCCTGGTTAACCCTACATAAGCTGCTGTTAGATGAAAGCACATCTTCATAAGGCTTTTGAGTGCCTGAAACAAATACAGGAGTATTTGTGGATGCAAACAGTTCTTTGAGGAAAATTGCTGTATGCATGGTGTTCTCAAAAGGAACATGAATATGTATAAATAAATGCAGTTGTTACATAAAAAATAAGTAAATAAAAAATAAAAGAATAATAAAAAAAATTTGGACTGTACTCAAAATAGTTTTATGCTATAAATACAATAAGAATGGCCTTATAAGGAAGGTGCTGGTTCTTTCCAATATTAACCCTGAGTGAGCATGCTTGCAGCCCAGGAGTTGGGCTTGGGGTCAGCCCTAACCACAGGCTCTGGTGCTTGTGTTTAACCTGGGCTGGCTGCTGCCATGTGAGCAATCCACCACCTGCCTTTCTAAAGCTCGGCACTAATTCCAGGAGTTCCTGCTCTAAAACTCTTCAAGGAGTTCTGAACTATGCTTGGAGCGTTAATTCCTCTACAAACTTCGTTTTACTTCAGCAGGGTTTTTTTATAAGCCTGATGAACTTGTGAGTACCTCCTTCCCAATGCTGCCTTTTTTTGGCTTCCTCCAAACACTTCAGGTGAAGGAACATTGCACATTCAGTACCTTAATGGTACCATATTTATTTATTATCAGGATAATTGGAGAGTAATGGGAAAAGATTTTTAAGTGCAAAGAGTTTAACCTAGCTGGTGCAATTTTGGATCAGTGAGAAGCATTTAAACCCCTTTTGCATGTAACCTGTCCTAAGTTTACCTTACATGTTACTGTCCTCTGTGCAAAGTAATCTCTGAATATTAGAGTATTTTTACTTACAGTTCAGTTTAACTCTGCTGCTTGAATTAACTAAAACCACGTGCATTGCTGCCATGTAATTGGCTGCTTTATTTCTATTTCTGCTCATTTTTGAATGTCTTTGCAGCGTGACAGAATCACAAGCTTCAGAAAATCAGCAGTGAAGAGAGAGAAGCTTCTCATCCAGCATCCTATTGACTCCCAGCCTTCCATCAGCGAGATCCCACACGCCCAGGCACTTGTTGATGAGCGCTGCATGAACTTATCAGAGAAAGAAGTCATGGATCTCTTTGAAAAAATGATGGTAAGATGTGTGTATGGGGAAGAACTGTCCTGTTCCACTGGGTGGCTCTGCTCTGTTCAGTGGAGCTGTGAGTGTCTTTTGAAGGATTGGATAAGTGTTAATTAACTCTTGCTTGATTTGCTTGTTAAGGGATTAGTTTGTACCTTTTCCAAGCAATGGTAGTTGAAGCAGACAATAGGTCTGTCTCACAGAGACCAGAAGCTCTGTGCCAAGGTTGTTCCCCAGCAAGTGATTGCAGGAACATTGACTACTCTTAGGTGCCAGTCTGAAGTTACTTTGACTTTCAATGGCAAGCCTAGTCATGACTAGTAATGACTGCACTGTATTAAATCAGTTAAATTAAAAGAAATGTCTCAATAGATTTAATCTAGCAGAGCATTTTGACTTCTAGGCTTGTTTTAAATACATCAGTTGGAACAGTTTCACCTGCACCCCTTCCACAAGCTAATAATCCATGTAATAGCAGCTTTCTGATTAGACAGTGCAGGACTGGTGTCCACCCTGGTAAGATTTCACTAAAAGCACAGGAACATCACAAGAGTTGACACTTAGCATCAACTTGAGCTGTAGAATTGTTGTGCTTGTCCTCTAGTTTTACTTCTTGAGCCAAATTTCACAAATGTTAACTACCCTTGATGCAATTTAAATTTTGGCTGAATCACAAAGCCAGTTGAAGACTTGGAGGTGACATAATCAAATAGGAAAAGCAGGTAGGGCAAAATCAAGCAGACACAGCTAAACTGGCAAAAAGCCACTTGTGTTTGTTTGAAAAGTGTTTAACAAAAGCAGCTTAAAAAGAACAAATAGTAATAAAAATCCTGAGCTGTGTTCCTGATGTGGTGTGGTCTGTTTGTGTGCAGGAAGACATGAACCTGAATGAGGAACGTAAAGCTCCGTTACGAGACAAGGACTTGAGCACGAAACGGGAGATGGTCGTCCAGTACATTTCTGCAACTGCCAAATCCGTAAGTACTCACCTGTCCTGGGCACACCTGAGGATGGAGCTTAGCTTTGAGTCTTAGGCTTTTCAAGCTTGAAAACTGAAATTTTTTTATCTGGATTTATGTAAGAGTAGTAGGAGAAAATAAATGTGTACCTACTAACACACTTCTAAATGCTTGCAGCTGCATCTGAACAGTTAGTTTGCATTTCCCTTGCTGGGCAATGTAAAAATGTGATCCTTTCTAAGAAACTTTAAGAAATGGCAAATCCAGTGATGTAGAGTCATGGATGGAACCTGAGCATATTTCTGTGCAATTCATCTGAAGTACCAGTACCCAAAGTTTCTGACTTTGTGGTTTCAGTAGCAAGGTACTAGACTCCTTTAGTGAAAAGGTGGTCTTAAAACCAGTTTCAAATTACATTTTGAATAGAAAAAATATTTTGACTTTTCTTTGATGTTGATTATTCTCTAATTTAATTGACTGATTAACCCTTCATGCAGAAGTTTTGAGTTCTGACTCCTTTGGAGTGCAAGAAGTGCAAGGAAATGATTTGGTACCCAAACATTTTTGGGGTGGGTAAATACAATTTCACATAGTGAAGAGATGCAGTTTATTTTCTGCAGCAGAACTGTTGGTACTAATTAGTTATAAAATACGTCAGCAATGCTTTGTGTGTGTTAGAAGTTGACTATGGCAAATATAGAAATAAGTGAAGATTATGGTCATGTCTGCTCAGGAATCTTTAAGCGTGGACTGCAAGAAGTACAGACTTGTCCCTTGTTAACCTTGAAAATCAGCTCTGCAGAGTTAAGTTTCAAACATTAAGATGACAATGACGTGCAATTATTATGCAAATGCCTTGCATGAAACATTATGAACTTCAATGAGGAAAAGCTTGTGTTAAAATGGTGATGAAATGGTAATGAAAATGGTGATTTAAGTTCTGAGAGGAGTGATGTTCCTGCATCAGTTAATCTTAAGCAAAATCCACAGTCCTTTAGTGTGTGCTGGAAGGAATCCAGTGCTTTAAGCATGGTCTAAGTGAATGTACAAATTACTGGAGAATTATTCAAGCTTATGCAGTCAATGTTATGAACTATGAGCTAGACTGTCTCTGGGAACTGTTAATTACGCTTTGTAAGGTTTTTATCTTCACTAGATGATCAATATTAAATCTGGAATTTTTCTTAGTATGCAAAAATACTTTGAAGCAGTAGAAAGTGGAAGTAGAAATGGAAATATTTGCATTTTTCCCACAAAGTAGTTGAACAGTGGTGATGGCTCTCATGTACACTGCAGTTGAAACATAGCTGCCTCGATTCCAGAGTTGTGCAGCTGAGTAAGGAAAGCATGGCTACCATTGCATGGCTCTCTGCTGAAATTTTAATGCATTGCATTCTCCCTGTGTGTGCTGCAGCGTGGGAAACCTAACAGAACTGGGAATATATTTGTCCAAATGCTCTAACAGTGTAAAACCAAGTCATCCTAAAAGGTCCTCGTACATGGATGTGCACTTTGGGCTTAAGTCAGCACCAGTGTGGATGTTTTAACATGTGGCAGTGTTTTTCCTAGAGGAAAAACAGCTCATATTGAAGTTTGTGTGCTTCAGTACATCCTCCTTGCAATTGAATCACAGCATTTGAATGGAGTCTCTCAGAAATCTGCATTACCTTTCTGTAGCATGTTATCCTAATTTAACTTTTAAATAGCTAGCATCTTGATTATTAAAAAAAAACCTAAAATACTTTAAATGTTGATTGGGATCTTAGAGGGGCACAAAAACCTCATTTTCACTTGTAATTTCATCTTCTGTTTAGTGCAACTACTATTATGCTCAATGAATTCAAGCCCTAGTTAATCTTTACTGCATCATGAATTGTCAAACTTTCCTTTCTTCAGGATTGTCTTCCATGAAAATGCTGGTTGCATTCAAAGCGATCTGTCTTTATATTTTCCATCTTTTTCTTTTGCCACAGTTAGTTATCTGTCTTTTTTACACTGAAAATACTTGGACCTTCTGCTTAAAGCTCTCGAAACACATTTAACAGTTGATGTGACTTCTTGCAGTTCATTTCATGTTTGGTTTAATTTAGGCTTTTGAGCTCCCTCCCTTCATGTGAAAATCACTCTCATTTGCTGATGTTGTCTTAACCAAATTATTTTAAATTTGGTGCTTCATTTTCTCTGCCTGTGTGCTGTCTGCAGCATGTTGACCATGCTTTTCTGAAACATTTGTCTTCAGAGTTCTGAGACAGGAACTTTGGATTTCACGGGGTGAAGAAAGTTTTCCTTGGGGGTGAATGACATGATGTAGAAGCTGACGAGCTGGATGTTTTCATGGGAAGTGATTTTCTGTGCTTCTCATTCCTTCTCTCACTTGAAGAGAAAGATTGTTGACCATGGAAATTATACCTGAGAACTAAAGGATTGAAATTCTGTTTCAGAACTGAACCTGGTGACATTTTGTGCTGTACTGAGTAGTCGAACATGGGTGAGAGGAGGAGATTGTTTGGTGATGGCAATCCCTTCTTGTGCTTCTAGAGCAAACCTCTTGAGGAAGAGAAGTGTTGGTCGTGAAAGACTTGCAGGGACTTTTGTTTCTGAAAGAGTTCCTAAAGGAACAAGGGAAGAGAGAGAGCAGGAACTGAAGCAGGTAGAGGCTGAACAGATTGAGTGACATTGAGATGTCAGCAGCAGAGCAGCTGGGGAGCAGCCAGAAGTGGTTGTGCAGTGAAGGGGCTGCAGGTGAGCAGCAGGTGAGCGGAGGAGGAGAGGCTGGAGCAGATGTCCATTGTCCCGGTGTTCCCAGGAGCGTGGCTGTTTGTGCAGGGTGACAGAACAGGGCACAGATGTGCTGCCTTCCTGCAGCTTCCTCTGGGGAAAGGCAACTTTTTGTTCATGAATAGAGGGAGATGCTGGTCCATGGTAAAGAGAAGATGGCATTCTGAAAATCACTGTTTAATTATCCGTGTAATTAAAAGCATCCATACCGAGCAGCTGAATAAAAATGTCATGTGAGATTTTCTGAAATGCAAGTTGGGGTTATAACTGTAGGCTATGTTTTTGATTACAGAAACTTAATTAAGTTCAATGGTGACATCATCTAAAAAGATCAAAAGCTGCAAAATAAAAGCACTTGTTATACCTACAAGGAAGTCAGTTTGCCACTAGTGTGTTCTCAGTGTCATATATCAAGTATCTGACCCGATAGTTTTAAAAAATGGCATATTTAATCTTTCAAGATGTAGCTGGCAAGACAGGTATTTAGTTATTTTTTGGTAAATGTGTCAAAGCTGATGATTCAGCAGCAGAACATAAGAATTTGGAATTGTTGCTTCTGCAGTAGAGGAGCAGTTTTTTCTACTGTTTTCCTGTTGAGAAGCTCTAACCCCAAAACAGGTTGATAAAGTAATAAAAGAATGTAACTACTACTAACGATTAAACACTGAAAAATGTGTGTGCAACTTCATCCTACTAAGTACTGTGCTGTGTTTATTTATGTATTATTATTATCTTTTTTACACAATAACCTCTCTTGGCTGACCACTGCATGCAGATAGTCGGAAGTAAAGTTCCGGTGAGTACGAACATGAGAGTTTTGTTTTCTCTTCTGAACTTCCCTTTTTAGAAATTAGGCTGGAATATTTTGGACTTTTATCTGGGTTTTTAAAATTCAGTGGTAACAACTGAATGCTTGTTTTTTCAAAATAATTGTCAACCTACTCAATCATGTTAATCTTTCCAGTATGAGATCGTTGCTTACACTTTGGAGGGATTTCTTCAAGGTTTCAGGAGTCTGAAGCTTCAGACTTCAATGCAGTTCAAATGCTCCAGACTCACTGAGCTCATCTCTTCATTGTGAGCAACAAATATAATTCAAGCTTGTCTTGATTTCTATTGAAGGCAGGCACTTGAGATTTTAAATTGACAATATTTGGCTTACTTCATTCTGTTTAGATGTGGAATTTATGTCCTAATTGTTATTATTCATAGCTTGTCTTGGAAATGCCAAAGCAGATCAATATGAGAATAAGATTAATTTAGAGGATTCAGGAGGTCAATAAGTTGAAGATGAGATCACTGAGAGCATAACTTTTCTCTTACTAAGGCCTCATCTACGTTTTAGGTTGTCTTGATCGAATTTAAATATTATAAACAAATATTTGGGATTTAATTTGTTGGAGTGAGTTCAGCACGTTTTTGTTTCCTAGAAAAAGATTTTTTTGGGGGGAATAATTGCATATTGATTTAAAATAATGGCTGAAAGCGAAGATGTCCTTTTAAATTATGGATGGACTTTATTTTTGATTACAGCCAAAAGAGGCTTTTCAGGTAGATCAAGGCTTTCTGCTTGGGTCATATTCAGTAATTAAATTCTGCAGTAAAAATGATAGAGAACAATCTCCATAAAGAAACTGTGTAATCAACACCTCAGATGTAGTTAGGTTTTTATCCTACACACTATATTCTTGCAGATTTTTCTCTTGGCTTTGTTTTATTCAGAGTGGACTTGAAAGAGATTTTTTTGTTCACCAGTACTTTTTAGTTTTGTACACAGTGTTGGTTCTTCCCTGACGGAGGAGAACAACTTCATTGTGCTTATGTATTTAAAGGAGGACAAATTATTAATTTTCCAGTTCAGTGTGATAAAACCAGTTTCAGATAATCCCTGCTGCTGTGCAATTTCCTTATGGTGTGCATCAGCCTGAACAGCTGCTTTGTGAAGAGGTTACCTTATTAAGGAAGCTGATGTTCCCACTATGGCTAGGAAGGAAATTCTAACACGTTTTCTTCCCTTTGAGTTCAGGGTGTGATAGAGAGCAAGAACAGCTCTGCATTAAAAGCATGTTTTTGTGCAAATAACTTTCTAAATACTAAAACAAGAATTGCTGTGCCTGGAGTATGGCTTCTGCATAGAATTGCTTACAGAGTGCTTGCACCTCCGTGTGCTTCTTCCAGGATTCATCCTTTGGGAGCTGTTTGCTTCTGCCAGCACATGGAGCTATCTCCTTGAGGATTTACAGATTCACTGTGATCAGGGACGAGAGGAATTTTGGGATGCTCCTGGCAGTGCTGTTGTGTTGTGGAGATTGCAGAGGTTTCCCTGTTCATGGGAACCTGGGAGCTTGATCTTATTTGAATTTTACATGGGATCCTCAGCACTGGTGGGGCTGCTGTGTGCTGCAGGCTCTCATTTGAGCTGGCATCAATGAATCATTCTCTGCCTTAATTGTCACACTCTGAAGGTGACCAGTCAGCAACTAATTTTGAAGATTTTCATTCCTAAGCATTTATTTAATCTCTGAACATTCTGATGTGGGACCCAACCCTCCTCACTTTCTACCTACTTCACTTTTGCTTTCATCTTTTTTAGATGTTCTGTAAAACGTTTTTTACTAAGACCTTACATCTCAAAATAAATGAGAAATGTTTGTATTAAAATCTGTTCTGTATCAGGCATAGCAATACTTAAAAGTAGTATTCCAATCAAACTCTTTGAATCGGGAAATAAGAAGCACCTGGTTCAGCATTGGAGGTAAGAGCAGATTGAGACCAAGACATTGATTGCAGGGAATAACAGAAAGTAATCCTGGTAAGCTGAAAAGTCTCTGAAAGATTTCAAGAATGGATTTTTGAGCTGTCTTGAGTAACCATCCATTTTGAAGAGAGAGGAGAATAAGGAAGATGAGTTGGTTCCTTATTGCTGTGCAGTTCAAGGTGCTTTTTCAAAGAGTCAGTGAGGAAATGTGCCTGTCCTGCATGCCATGGGAAGGAGCCTTAGCAGAGCACACTGCCAGTTCTTTCAACTATTGAGTGATTTTTGAGGGAGTCAGGGGCCTCCTGAAAATAAGGGACTGGGCAGAGCAGAGGTGCTGCTCTAATGGCCTGGATGGCACAGAAAGAGAAGGCAGCAAGGTCCCACCTCGGATTAAATAGGAAACAAAGAGCAGCCAAGCCTTCAGCTTGCCCCAGTCTGAACTGGAGTCTCCTTTGGAGCTTGCAGCAGACTGCAGTGGAAGGACAAACTCATCTCTTGGGAAAATACACTGTCTTGCATTCTAGAGGGCTTCTCAGGGTCTAGCTTAACTGGTAATGGCATTGATTGAAGTTGCCATTGTCTCATCTCTGTCCATTTTGTGGCTCTCCAGCAGTGTTTCTGTCCTCATTTACCATTTGGGGAATGGCTGAAATAACAAAATTTGTGCCCAGTTAAATCTATATTGTGGGGTGGGATAAAGCTGTTCCTTTTTCCTAGTTCTTTATCTTATGGTCCTTCAGAGTGATGATTTTTCTGAATTTTGATGATTTTTTATGTATTAACTTGATTTACAATCAGCTCCTACTCTTATAAAGATAATCCCTACTCATTTATTCCTTTTTCTTTTGGTGGAAGAGCATCTCTTTGTTTAGGATGTCGATGGTGACTTATTCTAGTCCCTTTATATCCCTCTTACTCATCTTTGCCTTGGTCCTTTGATGTGTGCCTGGTGTGTGATGCCCAGCTGAAGGTGTTTTGCATGTCAGCAAGGAACATCCTCAAAGCTGAGCCAGTGCAGACCCTCTTGTCTCACTGCAGTCACAGTCTGTCCTGGTTTTGTTCTGAAAGTGTATTGTGAATTCACTTCTGGTTTGTGCCTTGAATCTGGCTAGGTCAAAATCATTAACTTAAATTTAGCCAAGTCATTTTGTCATCAGCCATACTTAGTGTAGTTTTGGAAAACGAATGGTAAGAATTTGAAAAGAACAAAGCAGAAGGTTTTTAAGAAGTGGAGCTTTGTGCAAGAGAGACAATCTGAATATTTTTAGTGCAAGTGATACAATTAAAACCAAATGCATATAAATCTTCTTCTAGGACAGGCACTTGATATTGCCTTTACACCCCTGACATCTTTATCAGGTTCTCTTCAGCAGACCCTTGAGAGCTAAGGAGCTTTAGGAGCTGCAAATGAATCAAAACCACTCTTCTGAGATAAGCCTACTGCAGCTTGTCAGAGCTGTACAAAAGATTAGTTGCACCTTTTGGAAAAATGTTTTGTCATGTTCATGACTTTGAATACTCTAGCTCTAAAACTGATACTCAGGTGTTTTAATAGTGAAATACTGTGTAATTAGTTATTTTTCTGTAGTGGCACTTTAGCAGGACAGAGTTTTTCCAAATCTCCTGTATGATTTTCTTGCAGCAAACAAGATCCTCCAGGTATCTCTGTTAGGGGCCAAACACCCACTATGGTACAGCAAACAACTGGCTCATGAAGTTGCATGAACTGGATGTTTCTGTGTCTCACTTTGATTGTTTCAATACTGTCTTGTGAAGCAGCTACTTAACACACTCTCATGAAATATGTTAATACAGCTGAATGATGGAATTAAATTTTTATGTTCAATTTGTACTGCATGCACTTTGACTCAAAGAAGTGAAAAAGATTCCAGCGAGAATAGTTAACCTTGTGATGTGAAACCAAAAGTATTAAACACTGATGACAAATCTAAGTCAGGTGTCTTGAATACTTGCACTGTGATTTGAAAATTCAGATGGAAATACTAGTCTTGTGTTTTATCATCTAAACACTGATCACTAGAACACTCAGCAGCATTCTGTATTCTGTGATAGGGTGGACTAAAAAACAGCAAGCACGAATGTACCCTGTCCTCACAAGAATATATCCATGAACTGAGATCTGGAATTTCAGATGAAAAACTTCTTAATTGCCTGGAGTCTTTGAGAGTGTCTCTAACCAGCAATCCAGTCAGGTAAGCAGAGCAATTTCTGCAGTAGTTTTTATCATGCTGTTTTTGCTAAGCAGGAGAGTTGTGGGCTTTGGGGTTTTTTTTGAAACCAGAGTAATTATATTAATGCTTGTTGACAGGAGAGCAGTGCTCTCAGCATCCTGGATAAGGATAAGTGAAATGTTTGCAGCTGTCTGAAGCATCTCCTCACCTTTCACTGTGGCGTTCAGCAATTTGCACTGGCTGCAACTGTTTGCCTTCGTGGCTGATCAGATGTTTTGGGAAGTGAGACCAAAAGTGGAGCCTATGAAGGGCAGCACAAGCAGTAACAGGGAAATAGCTTTGCAGGTTTTGCATTTGATTAAGGAGTAATTAAAAGCATTTTTCTTTTTTTTTTTATTTCCAGCTGGGTTAATAATTTTGGACATGAAGGTCTTGGACTTCTGTTGGATGCATTGGAAAAGCTCCTGGACAAGAAACAGTAAGAACCTGGATTGTTTGAAGGGAGGGATGGGGAAGGTTGTCAAGATTTTCCTTAGGTGATTTTCCTCATTCCTTTCAAGGCAAGAAAGTATTGATAAGAAGAATCAACATAAACTTATCCAGTGCCTCAAAGCATTTATGAACAATAAAGTAAGTATTACTTTAAATTCACGTACTTCTAGCATGATTGGGTTTTGTTGAGTTCAAGATGTATATGGCATGGTAAATGTTGGAGGGGGAGGAAAGCTTCTATGTCCAGTGTTTAACTCTTTGGAAATACAGGTCTTAAACTTCAGTGTAACTTCTCTTGTGAGTCGTCTTCATGAGCCTTTCTACCTATTTGCTTGATTTTGTTAAACACAGGGTAAAAAACCCAGTTTTCCTTAATTTTGTTAAATACTATTTATTTTGGAAGTAAAATATTTGATAAAGAGGATGATAGTATAAATTTAAGTGAATTTGAAAATGAGTTCCTTGGAAATTGAAAAAAAAATAATTCCGAGTTTGGTACATGATTGTGAATATAATGTACTTTTCATCTGATTTAATTTGAGTAGGATTTGATATCTTTTCAGCTGCAGTTTTTAAGTTGGTAGGTCATGGGTAAAGGATTAGGTTTAGTTATATCTCATTTGTTTCTAACATAGTTACTCAGGTTTACAGAGTATGAGTACCTGCTAGAAGCTGATGTGTTAAAGTTGTAATTTTGCTTTATTTGTAGCAAAATCTGAAGTCTTGTATTTATGTATCCTCCCCAACAAACAAAATTGCATAAAAGTTACTTATGGTGACTTCTACTCAGTTTAGAAAGAACTCACAGAGGAGCTCGACTAATGAAGTGGGAGAAAAGCAGATTTTTCATACTTCTGAGGTGTTTCAGATAGAGATAGGAAATAAAACCTGCTTTATCTTTTGGTGCCTACTGATTTTACATGGTCCTGGTGTCCTGAGGAGCTGAATGTCTGTCTGGAGAAAGCCTCAAATGCAGGAAGACTGGGCACACTGACCTGTGTCCCCAAGCAATGGTGGTGGCTAGGGGTTCTGGTGGAGGGAGTGCTGCCAGATCGCCTCTGGGAGGGAGCAGTTGGGAGAATCTCTCAGGATCTTAAGTTGGTGATGAGTAGCCAAGGCAAGCCCAACCTTTTCACCATGTACATTGATCATTTTGTTTCTCCCAGTACGGTTTGCAAAGGATTTTAGGAGATGAAAGAAGTCTCCTGCTGCTGTCAAGAGCAATTGATCCAAAGCAACCACACATGATGACTGAGACAGTGAAAATACTTTCTGCCATCTGCATTGTTGGAGAGGAAAACATGTAAGTGAGATATTGAAGTTGTCTTTTGTGCTCATGAGTTGTTAATTTGGACACAGGTGAGAAAAGTTGACAGTGAAACAAATGTAATCTATTAAGTCTTTAATAATGTGGTTTAAAATTCAAGAGACTTCTTCACTTGTTGTGTTGCCTTAATTCAGTATTAAATCAGAAAAGCAAATGAGCAGAGACCTGCCTATTGTGGCTGAAGTGGAAGGTCTGAAAGGACAGATCAGCTCCCCACCACAGGAACAGGAAATTTTACATTTACAGCTGGGCTTTGGAGCAGTTCAACTCTGAGTTACTTAGCACTTGCCCATGAGATTTCTAAAATCAAGATAATCACTTGGCATATGTTTCCTGTAAATTCCCCACTGTGCTTATGTACTGAAGGTTAAAATGGGCGAACTTCATGTCTTCTATGCAATAGAGTAATACATTTTGATTTCTGAAAGGACAAATTATTAGAATTTCCAGATGTTAAACATGTGAGCTGTTATCAAGTGCACAATCTTGCAAAGGTTGTGATTTTTTTCCCCCTCATTGGTTGTTTCTTAGCTGAAATAATAATAGAGATTTATTCACCCTCTTTTCTTATTTCAACATTAATCTTGTAGACAATTTTAACACTTGGTTCTTGGATTGTTTTCAACTTTCTGTAGCTAAATGCATTTAAACTGTCAGTGCACTAAAGCCCTGAGCTGAGTCAGTAGTGGGCTGAGGATGTTAAAAATGAGCAAGTTGGCTGCTCTGTGCTTTTGTGACAGTTTGTCTTTCTCTTAGTCTGGACAAGCTTTTAGGTGCTATAACAACTGCTGCTGAGAGGCACAGCAGGGAGGAGCGTTTCTCCCAGATCGTGGAAGGCCTGGAGAACCACGAGTTCATACAGCTACAGGTGAGTTTGCTGTTCTGGGTGCTTCAGCTGAAAGATTGGAGCAACATGTATTGCTTGGTGATCTTCCATTTACACAGAGCATCTTTTAGTGCCTTTAATCCAGTGGTCAGTAAAAGAGGAGAAATAAATTCCAGTGCCCTGCTGGTACTAGATTTTCTACTTGTTAGAAAATTGTTATTTTCTACTTCCTGTCCCAAAAATAGGATTAAGAAATCTTCACCTTGGGTAATAAGCCTGTTCCTAGTGCTGGTACTTAGGGCAGCAGTACCTGTGGCCTCTAAAATATTCAGATAAATGCTAATTATGGCAGGTGTAGCATGGGATGAGCCCGTTTTTGGCAGGGTTCCTTTTGGGATGAGTGAAGTGCAGCAGGATATTATTGGTATTTTTTTTCAGCAAGGACTCTGCATTCCTTGCTGTGTGTGTTCAACACATGCCTTTATCAGCCACTAGTGCTTCTCTGAGGGCCATTTAGTGAGCTTTCAAAATTATTTTTATACATTAATAAAATAATCTGTGCCAGTTGTTACTAAGTCATGACTTAGATTGTGTTCACTGCTGCTTATGTGTCCATGGATAGAGGTTTTTATGCTCTGTGGGCACCACAATTTTGGTTTGTATGAAGATGGAAGCTTTTTTGAATTGGGATTGCTTGGGTTTTTTTGGTACTGCCATTTTTCCATAGAGGCCAAGTGGCTGAATATCCTAATGGAGGAAAACTTGGATTTCTTACCTCCTCACAATACAGTAGTTATGCACATTTTGTACTAAAATTTATTTTTCAGCTACTTTGGCTGAAAGATACGGAAAAATACAGGCAAGGGCAGGTACCCTTGGGATGCCTTTTTGCAGTCTTGGCTCAAACACACATCAGCTGTAGCTGCCTTAATGCTGTGTTTACCATCAGCATCTCTTGTTTCAGAGCTGAGTTAATGATGTCCAATAAGTTTCTATAAATGACATTCTAATCTTAATAGTGCCATCACTGAAGAATTCATTCAGGAGTTGTCTCCTGCTCTGTGACCTTGTTGATTTAAGGGAAACAACAGCCACCAGCCACCATTCCTGCCAAGCTCCCCCTCCCCAAGCTCACTGATACTCCAGTGAAGGCACAATTGCAAGACTCATTACCTTGTTTCTGACAAAATCATTCTTTGCTGGTAATGTATTAGCACAAGCCATTAAGGCAGAGTCTCTCTGGCAGAAGCAATCAGAGCAGATGGCACCTCTTCTCTCTATTAATTTCAGATTGGACATGTGCTTTGGCTTGTTAAGTCATGTCATAGTAGTAAAATAACAAGAATCATTCAAGCAGGCATGATGATACTGCATTATCTGAAGATGCAGCTCTATCAAGAGAGTGCCTTTGAAAGGGTGTTTTAATAGAAATTTGATACTTCATAAGGTGTTCTATTAAAGCTAAATAGTGAATGATAGTGAATGTAATTAAAACAGGAAGGTGCTTTTTATCTGATTTTTTTCCTCTGCAGCTATTGATTTTTTTTTTGTCCTGCTCTAAAGCTACTTCTATTTGCAGTTAACATCTTTTACCAAACTTGGTATTTCCCTCGAGTCCCATTTTAGTATTTTAATGTGGATCAGCACTTTTGGTGTTGTGCTGTTGTCTACCTGTTTTCAAATAAATCAATTAAAGTGCACAGCTGTTCAATTGAAGCATTAGCCACTATCCTGAGACTTCAGGTGTTTTGCAGAAGTGCTCTGCGGGAATGGAACAAACACCTGGTGATGTGACTAATTTGGGTATGTGTGGTTCTGATGTGGGGTATTTTAAGCTTTGGGTTATTGCAGAAGCAGTTTGTTTTCAAACTGGTGAATGTTGAGGAGAAAGAGGAGGTACAATGGGAAACTTTAGTTTGGGAATAACTAATGTATGATTTTAGGGTGGGGAGCCCTGGCACAGGTGCCCAGAGCAGCTGGGGCTGTCCCTGCATCCCTGGCAGTGCCCAAGGCCAGGCTGGACAGGGCTGGGAGCTCCTGGGACAATGGGAGGTGTCCCTGCCACGGCAGGGGTGGCACTGGATGGGTTTTAAGCTCCTTTCTGACCCAACCCATTCCATGATCCTGTTCTGATCATTCACGTGGTGCTATTTTGACGCAGCAGAAGCATCCTGATATGGAAACAGAGCAGTATTTGATGTTGCTAAAATAAACCAGAGTGTTTCATGTGTGCTGCATAATAAATAATATCCATCTCTTTGGCTTTAGAATTTAACTGAAACAGTGACTGGAAGGATTGATTTTCATTCTGTGTTTCTGATTACAGGTAGCATGTATGCAGCTCATCAACGCCCTTGTTACATCCCCTGAGGATCTTGATTTCAGGATACACTTGAGAAATGAGTTTTTACGTTGTGGCCTGAAGAAAATATTGCCTGTAAGTCATTTGTAGCCAGGAGCTGATCACTGTCCAGTGTGAATGTTGAGGATAACCAAACTGTTTAACCAGAACAGCAGATGTGAAGGACTGGGGGTGCAGAAGGTCAGATTATCAATCCAAATTGCTTTCAGCCTGCAGTTAGAAATTCAGGTTCTCATGAGCTGTATAAACCAGAATAGTAGTTGAAACAAGTCAATACATCAGAAATTAAATGAGGGTAGCTAAATTCTGCATAAAGAGCTCAAAGCACATGCAGTGAATGTGAATCTGGCTGTGGAACCAATGTTGGATTAACTTGCTTTGTGTATGCTGTTGCTCTTGTTTTCTGTGAAATCTGTTTCTCTTTAATCTGCCTGCTGAGAATGCATTGGGACATTTTAAGGAAAAATCAAATCAGAAATTCATTTGGAGACTGTGTCTGTCTTCATGCAGCTGCACAGACAGGAATATTTCTGACTTTAGGAGAGATATGTAGCTCTTAACCAAGAAACCATTCTGATACATCAAAAATAGGTATATTTAAGGTACTCGTCACTTTCTTACAGAAGATGAGAGCAATTAGAGTACCTGCTTATATTTGTTTGAAACAAAATTTATTCTGCTATGACTTAAGATGTGAAGTTTGAAATTGTCAATTTGTTAGGAACAAAAACTTCTGTGTTTGGCTCATTCAACCTCGAGACACTTTCTTCTGTGTGATGTTATTTTTCTAAGGTATATTTTTAGGATTTATATCATGTAGATACATTAATAGGATCTACTGTCTTTATTTTCTGGGAAACATCTGAAAACTTCAAGAACACAAGTATTTTTGGTTTTTTTTTTAATCTATTGAAAAGTAATTCACAGAATCAATAAATGCTTAAAAATTTTAAGAATTGGGGGTGGGTTAGGTAGCAAAAAACATGAATTGTGACAAATCATGATATGATAGAAAACTTGGGAGAGTGTACCAACATCTGCCACACAGATCTGAGTGTAAGAGCAATTAATGTTTGGTGATAACAGGCTATTTAAAGATTGTTGAGCAGCTGATGTGTTGAAAAAGAGTCCAGGAGGGGGATCCAGAGCTCTGGCTCTTCATCTGTTCAGATTCAGAGCTGCCTCCTCCACTTTTCAAGCGCTGGAATTGGCACAAGTTCCTGCTGTATTGGGGAACACACACGGCTGCACCAGTCATGACAAATCCAGACCCATTTCCATTTTAATCCTGGAGTGCATTCCCATGAATGGATGGGAAGGAACTTTTTTTCATGTGCTTTGGCTGGTGAGAAGCTGAACTTGGTTCATGTGGGAAAAAAGACGAGTCCTTGTAGTTCTTAAAAGCACATTTTCCTCTGCGCCAGATGTGAGCTTGAGTGGGGTTTTTTCCTCCCCTACTTCTCCTTTTACTATGGATGTTTTAATGCCATGGTCTGGGTTAACTGAGCTACAGAAATTGTGAGCAAGTCTTCTTTAGACTTAATTAATGTTTTGAAATATACCTGTTGTGGTTTTTTTAAAGGAACTCTGACATTAACAGCAGGAGCTGCTATGTCCCATTAAGAGAAATTGTTTCAACTGGAAGTTTTCTGGTTTGTTCTGTAGCCCATGCCTGCTCTGTGAGCTGGTGTTTTGCCTTGAGTTTTTCTCAGTTGAATCTTTTTCCTTTTGAAAACTTTCTCCTGTTCTAAAGGTTAATGTCTTATATTTCATCATGATACAGTCCTTCAAGGGGGGGTGGAATTCTTGATTTAAAAAAGGGAAAATTAACATATATTCTACCTTGAAAAACAGGCCTTGAAAGATAAGGAAAATGACGAGCTTGATATTCAGCTGAGGGTGTTTGATGAGAACAAAGATGAAGACCACTTTGAACTGTCACATCGTCTCAACGATATCAAAGCTGAAATGGAATATCCTTTAAGGAAATGCTGTTATAACTTGTGTCATCTCAGAACTTGGTTAAATGGAAATTACAGTGCTCCATGTGCAGGTTATTTGTCTCAGCTGTGTGTCTTACCAGGGGCTTTGTCAAGCAGATCTCTCTCAAGTTGCTTTTTTTGTTAGAAAATATTTTGATAATTAGTGCTTAAATTTGCATGTCAAATGTAAGTCATTGGGAACTGAATTAATTTTTCATAAATAACATTTATTAAGCTAAACTCTGTCTCATAATACATGAAGAGATAAAATTATACCCATGGAAGATCATAAGTTTGAAGAAAAATGAGTTCTAATAATAAAAGGAACAAAATTTCTCTTAGGTTCTGAAGCACATGAGATGTGCCTTTTCTGGCTGTGAAGGAGCAGGAAATTCAGAGTTACCTGAATTCAGAAAAGGTGCTGCAGGTTTTAGGAGGAGGCAGAGGGAGGTAGAGGCAATCCATGGGAGGACTATAGAATCCCATTATGCTGTTGCTTTGCAGAACAGGTAATTACAGGTAAAGGTCATCTTTAGGAAATGAAAATGATTGACCAGGGTGTGTTTGCCAGTAGCCTGGCTGAGCTCAGGGCAGAAGCAAAGCTTTGTGTGCAATATTGTTACAGAACTTTAAATGTGAAGTCTATAGTATGATTGTTCTGATTGATAATGAAATGCATCCTAATTATTAAACAGGATATAGAAATTCTGTGCACAGTCTAAGTGGAAAAATATTTACTGCTAAGAATGGGAGTTGAAAGCGTGGAGGGGTTTTACTTGAACAATATGGAAAATGACTGGGGAGCTGTGTTTGGCTGGGGTGGCTGTTCTGTGCTGCAGTGGGGTTTTTTTGGTCTTTGGTTTGGTTTTTAAATTGTTGGTTTTGTAAGCATTTGTATTTTCTTAACCATGTTTGCACTGATGTGAGCGAAGTATTTCATCTGCTGTATAATATGGTGAAAGATACTTCTTCTGAAAATTACTTCTTGTCAATTCTGCAACATTTCCTCCTGATCAGGAATGATTACTATGTCCGGTGAGTGCCAGCTGCCAGGCTGGGATTTTGGGGGGAATAGGGGCAAGAGTAGAAATTAAGACCCTGGTAAACTGATTTGCTCAGGCCTAAAAAGTCACTCTGAGACTGTTGTGTTATCTTTTTGCTCCATGTTAAAAAAAATTAGTATTAAAAAGATCTTGGTAAATGTAATAGTGTTTATTTCAAAGACTTGAAGCTTAGTCTTACACCCTCATCCCAAAAACCTCTTAACTCAGCCACATTTTTATTCAAGTTTGATACCTTCATTGCATCAAAGAACATGAAAGTTGTACAACTGATAATTGAAAATCCTCCCACGTGCCTTGGATCTGGTCTTTTCAGTGTAAACATCTCTTATGTGCAGCACAGTGTCTTAGCAAGGTCGAGGTGCCACATCAAAATGTTTACAAATAAGAATTTGAATTTGATACTTCCTTCTGGCAGTTGTAGAATTCAGATATTAGGAGTTAATTGCCCCCTTCCCCAACCCCATCAAGGCTTGTTCATGTTCTCATTGTCTTGTAAATATTTCCTGTTTTAGACCTCAGTATTACAAGATCATAGAAGAATGTGTGTCACAGATAGTGCTGCACTGCAGTGGCATGGACCCAGATTTCAAATACAGAGGAAGGATGGACATTAATTTTACACATCTTATTGGTTTGTATTCTTTAAGCAGTTCTACCTTGTTTTTTTGTGTTCTTCTGTCTAGACTTTTGTCTAGGTGTTTTTGCCTTTAGTTTTTCTCAGTTGAATCCTTCTCCTTTTGAAAACTTTCTTCTTTTCTAAAGGTTAATGTCTTATATTTCATTATGATACAGTCCTTCAAGGGGGGGAATTCTTGCTTTAAAAAAGGGAAAATTAAGATATACTCTACCTTGAAAAACAGGCCTTGAAAGATAAGGAAAATAGTGAGCTTAACTGTGAATTTTTTCAGTGTTCTGGAAATACGTATGTAAGCTACACGTTTACCTGTGGAGGCCAGATGCTGTAGTCATTAATGAAATGAGGCAGGGTCAAAAACAAAAGTGCCTGTTGCTTTTCTGTCATGGGCTCACAGGGTAATTATGGTTGGAAGCACCTCAGAGCTGGGATGTTTGACTTGTGTGTGGTGTTTTATTTAAATTCTAGATGCATGTGTGGACAAAGCTAAAGTAGAAGAGAGTGAAAAGAAAGCAGCAGAATTTTCTAGAAAGGTAAGTGCTGCTCTTGGTGTGGAACAGAATCCTGACAGGAGCACAGCTCGTTTCCAGCTAAAACTGGGAAACAGTGGCTCTCACAGGGAGGATGTGCTTTCAGATTTGAAGCTCTGTGGTTCTGTGTGGGAAAGGCTCAGATGTAGTTGAGTCTGAAATCAAAAGCAGCTGAGTAGCATTACCTGTGCATCTCTTGAGTTGTGTTCCTCTACTGTAGATAACTGATGGGAAAAATTCCACTTGTTGCTCTTCAGTGCTGGAATAGTCATAATTAAATAATTTAAGTGCAGGTACAAGCCTTAAAAAAATGAATGGAAGTGCTATGTTAGCTGCAGTAGTACTGAAGCTTGTGTGTTATGGAGGTGTGTATTGAAATCATTCAAAATTCTGATTTTTCTGCGGGTTTGGCCTAAGAAAGCATTTTCAGGCCAAATGGTAGAACATGTTCTTGAACATGATGATTGCAGATTTCATTTTTAATGAATTTAAGCTTGCTGCAATGGATGTGTACTTGAGCTTGGTTTGAGAAGTCTGCAGTGTTCTCTTGGAGAGAAAAGCCTGTACTGAGTAGCTGGGTCTGGGTGGCTCTCTGCCATTGACTTATTGACAGAAGAAATTGTGGTACTCAAAGTGAACGTGTTAGAAAAATGCTGCTCAAAGAGTTAAAAGTGCATCAATTGCTCCAGCTCTGATTTTCAAAGAATTCCTGCCAATAGAGGCTCTGGTGTGGCCATAACTGGACAAACTCTCCTGTCCTGGTTAAATCATTACAGTTTGATGAAGAGTTCACAGCTCGACAAGAGGCACAAGCAGAGCTGCAGAAAAGAGAAGAGAAAATCAAAGAACTCGAATCAGAAGTCAAACAGCTCCGGACCCAGGTAATAAAACTGTATCCCATTAACTTCCACAGCTGAGTTGGTTGTTTTTGAGGAGGAGGAGTTGAAAAGCAATTGCCCTGGAGTAACTTGTCTCTCTGGAGTTTGGAATGTGTGTTGGAGGTGCATTGATTTGTTTTGCAGCCAGCATAAGTTACTAAGGATAGTTAATGGAGGTAACGTTTTTCAAATAGTAATATATTCAACCTGTCACAGGTACCTGCTTTATTGACAGAGTGTTCCTTGGGCTATAAAAATCTTGCATCCAGCCTGATTTTTATTTTTTTTTTTTCCTGCAGGTATTTGTTTATGCTTTCACATTGCTGCTTCTGTATTTTTTGCAGAAGGTTTTTATTTTGGAAGTGTTTATTTTAAGGCTTCTGATTTTATATGTATTTTTTACTCTTAGACTTTATATATTTATATGTACACTTTTTTATTTTTTATACCAGCTTTGGGTTTTAGACAGGTCATTTATACCTTTTAGGAACTAACAGATATCATGATGAAGCGCTTTTGCCTCAGTCTGGCTTATTTTGTACTCCTTCAACACTAGGCAAGGTCTGCCTGTTGCCTTTTTTTGTCTTTATTTTGCTGTATTAATGCCTGTGATATCACTTCCTAATTGGACACTAAGGTGGAGACACAGACACTCCTGTTGTTACTTCCTTCTTGACAATTTTCATGTTTGTTACAAATTCCTACAAGCCAGTGTTAAGTGAAATTTGACAGTCTGTTTTAATGAGTTCCAGCAATTGTTGCATTATCACCTGTGGGCCAAAGAGACACATGCCTTGTGCAAGTGAAAAATGTACTTTTAGTCAAATTAATTGTTAATCCTGTTTTATTGATTCTACCACAGTTCAGATTATCCAGACATGACAGGGCATTCACAGTAGTGCTGGCCACTGGTTAATTAACCATGTAATTCTACTATCTGTTCCCTTTTCTAGTGTTATGTTCCCCACAGAATATGGTGACACTTATTTCTAGCTGCACTCTGCTGATTTGATTTGCTGCTGTTTCTCTTCCTTATTAATTAGTAAGAACTTACTAGAGTGGACATTGTGATTGCTCTTTCTTTCTCTCACCAAAGAAGCACCCTCAGATGTCCAAGACAGCAGGATGGGTTGTTGCACAACCTTCACCCCTCTAGATGTCAGAATAGTTTTGAACAACTGTGCTCCTGTGACCTCTTGCACTGCAATAGCTGCTCCACTGATTGCTGGGGAAAATTTTCCAGCAGGAGATGAGTGTTGTTAAAATTGAGCGTGGTTATTCTCATCTCTGATGCCCCAGCTTGCCGGGGTGTCCTAAGTGGGATAAATGTTTTGTGCATTGGTAAGAAATAAAATGCTGTTCTGTTCACTTAAATGTTACTGCTACTATTAAATTTTCTTTAAAATTGAAACAATTTGTTTTTATAACAATGCTAGGTTATTCAGTTTACTTGGCAGCTTTATGGTACGTGGTATAATCTATCGTTATTGTTTCTCATTTAAATGGGAGAACGGTTGCGTTTCTCGCTTTCTTGAGGTTGAACCAACCATCCCGTTGGTTCAGATTTGTATTGAGCTGCCTCCTGTCACTGATGAAGAGAATTCCTCTTTTGTGTTTCAGGGTCCAGGCCTGACAGAAGTCCCAGCAATACCTCCAGCCCTCCCAAGTGAGAATGCCCTGCCATCTCCAGCGCCTTCACTCCCTGGTGGAGCCATCCCTCCTCCACCTCCCCTCCCTGGTGGAGGAGCCATCCCTCCTCCACCTCCCCTTCCCGGTGGAACAGCAATTCCTCCTCCTCCTCCCCTGCCAGGTGGACCCACAATTCCTCCTCCTCCTCCCCTGCCAGGTGGAGCAGTAATTCCTCCCCCACCTCCATTACCTGGTGCCTCGCTTCCTCCACCGCCGCCTCCTCTGCCTGGGGGAGCCATCCCACCTCCCCCTCCCCTGCCTGGTGTGCCCCCAGCACCTCCTCTGCCTGGGGGAGCAGGGCCTCCTCCTCCTCCTCCTCTTCCTGGGGGAGCAGGGCCTCCTCCTCCTCCTCCTCTTCCTGGGGGAGCAGGGCCTCCTCCTCCTCCTCCTCTGCCTGGGGGAGCAGTCCCTCCACCGCCGCCTTTTGGGGGGCCCCCGATGCCCCCCCCTCTCGGAGGGGTCCCCTTTGCTCCCTTCCCCATGGTGCCAGCCTTGCCACACGGGATGAAGGAGAAGAAGAAGTATAAGCTGGAAGTGTCGATGAAGAGGATCAACTGGTCAAAGGTAGGACAGGAGGTGTGGGGATGATGTTCCTTCCCCTCCTTCACTTCACTGTGCCCTTGGTACCATGTGGTGATGGATTTTTAAATGAGGTTCATCCTGGCAGAACTTGGTGTCCCAGGAACCAAATTCCAATAGATTGTATCAGGTGCAGTGAACATGAAGTGCAGCTTTGCATCAAGTTGTATGTAAATATATATTTATCTCCAAACTGTTCTAAAGCAGCTTTCACACGTACCTAACAAAACAAACCAACTTAAGTTTTGTCAATTTGTGATGTTTAATGTAGCTATGGGTCCAGAGATTGCTGACATCAGGCCTTAATGTTACTTGATTATTCATCCCAGATATTTATTGGTTGTTCTCAATTAGTGATGTGCTGGAGCAGGGCTGTGGCCACTGGGAGGAGCCATGGGACTGCTCAAGGGAAAGGTTTGGGCACCATGAGCTTCCAGAGTCTTAACATGGTTGTATTTAATCACATTTCATCTTAAAAACCATCTTAAAATATAAACACTACTTGAGCAGTAAAGTGCAAGCACAATCTGATTTGCAAGCTAACCCTTAAAGCTGTTCTCAGTTACTTGTCTCTGAGAATATCCAGTTCTCTAACAGAAGTTATGCCAACATCCAGGTGTGTTCTGGGGTGTGTTGATTTAAAACCCCTTTTTGATCAGTGCTCCTTCCATATAAAGGAAATAAATGTAGGGTATTAGATAATTGCATTTGCTATCAAGACTAAATCATTGCATTCCAAAGTTGTGGTTGGTAATTTTTTTAGTGGTATAAAATATGACAGATACGTTGATGTTTGGTGTAGGAAAAAGTACCAAAATCATCAGGGCAAATGAAAGGAGGACTTATATGTATTCCATGCTGTGTGGTTCCTCTAAATTCTGAGTAGTCAAAAGGCTCTTTCTTGGAGGTAACAAAACAGCAGAATAATCGCTCCAATTTTGGAAGAGGAATCCAGCAGGTTGAGAGAGAGCCTGTGTGGAAATGCATGGCATGCCAATTTATCGTTTCTTTTGGCAGAAGAATTAATGCTTCAATGATTTCAAATGATTTCAAAATATTTGGAGATGTGCTAAAACTATCTGAAAGTGTATCTAGCGGTCGTAGTTTAAAAATAGGCTTTTCATATATTTAACTAGCATGAAATGAAACAGCCAGCCATGGTTTTAGAGTATTAATTTAAATAAATTTAAAAATCAGTTTGAAAATCTTTACTTTTTCTGTAGTTCTTATAAAATAATCTGCATCAAAGGATAAGTGATAACTTTTCTTTGTTGTGGGAGGAGGAATTAAGAATCTTGGGGAGAAGAGACTGGATCAGGATGCACTGCAGGAGTTTTGTGACTGTGGGACATAGACTGCTGTCCTGTAAACATAGAGAAAAGCAAGCTTTTATTTTATAATACATACTGTAATTGCAGCCAATTTGGTTGTGATCACTTCCATTGGGGAGTTTATAGGAATAATTTCTGAAGTGTCTCTGTGAATGCTGGCTGTGACAATGGGAAGGAACTGCAGATGGACGCTTTGCTTAAGTGCTCTGGGAACGGTGCCAGAGATCTCCTGCCTACTGAGAAAGTGGAAAGTCTGTTTGATCATCACTTTTAAGGAGCCATCATTTGAGGAATAAAATTCTTACTGTTTAATTTAGTCCCTTTTGCTGTAACCATCTTCCCCATTAGTGTTGGATTAAGGTAGTTTTTTAAAATGTTTTCCCTGGAGCTGCTGGTAAAGCTGGGCTGAAAGGTGGAGGAGCAGGGTGTTGCAGGGAAATAATGCAATATTATTGCTAGATACTGCATGGCATCTGAGTTGGCCCTTGGAAATTACTTGGCATTTCAACAAACTTAGAAACAATAGTTAATAATGTGTTCAAAGCTGTTAGAGGAATATATTTTGAAAACAGAATAGCAGTTCTGAGTCATACATGAAGAGTCAAGTTGTCTTTCAGCTCCTGGATTGCAGAACATTTTCCTGTTCCAATCTGGCCAACAGGGAGCTCATCCCCATGGAGAGTTCATTTCCTGGTGCTGAAGTTTGGGGACTTTCTAGAAAGTAATCAAGAGAGAGCTTAGGACACTTTCAAAGCCAGCTGCTGGTATTGGTTCTGTTTGGAAAACAAGAAAGAAGGGAGAGAACATCCCAGAATGGGGCTAAACTTCATTCAGCCCAATTCTCACAGAAATTCTGGAGCATTTGTTTGAACTTGGCTGTTGAGAACACTCCTTTTTGACTCTGAAGATGCTGTTTTTCTTTCAGATTGAGCCTCAAGAAATAGGAGAAAACAGCTTTTGGGTAAAAGCTGAAGAAGATAAATTTGAAGACCCAGAGCTGTTTGCAAAATTGGCGCTTACCTTTGGAACCCAAATGAAAGGTACATTCTTACTTTACTCTTTATTGTGCTTTTATTAAGTTTAAAACTGCAATGGCAGTTTCCTTTATGCTTTGTGCAATACCATGGAATTCGTATGATGGTTTTATAGCAGGAAGATGATTTAAAACATATATTAAGCATAACAGTATTACAAGAATTGTTCCTCCTTCACTTTCCACTTCACAGCATGAGGGGAGGAACCTTTTTCCAATACCTTTTAAAAGTGTACTGTATGTTGCAGACAGATGTGAGTTTTCTTCTTATGAAATTATAATTAAATTTAAATTCTGATCCTAAAACCATGTTTATTTGCATTCTTATTCCTAGCTGAGAATTTCTGGAATAAGAACAGCACTTCTTACTAATACAGTGTTAAAGAAGAATAACTCAGGAAGGGCTCCCAGAGGACTGTAATGAACTATTTCCTGAGCAGTTTCCTTGAATTATTTCTGAATGTGTTTTTTTCTTCTGTGTTCTTTTGAAACATCTTCAAAGATTTGGTTGTGGCTGTGTTTTTCATAAGATAGATTCCTATTCCTTACAGTAGTCAGTGAGTTTAAACCATTAGAATTCTGCTTTTGCAGCACACCTTGGAACCACTTTCTGGTCTAAATGTTCAGCTATCTATGCAGTAATTCAAAAGCCTCCTTTGGAGTAATTTAACATTCTTTTTCATACCTGAGTTGGATTGACTCTTGGTTCCTAGCACTGCAGGGAGGCTAAAATGATGTGGAGTTGGTCGCTTGGTTTTGTGTGACAGGAAGATCTTCAAGGGAAAGAAGCAGCAGATGACAGAATGGCACAAACCCCTTCTTAATGAAAAGGAGAAGCTTCTGCCTTGAGCTGGATTCTTTCATCAGAAATCTGAAGAAATGTTTCACAATTCCTGAAAAGCTGCTTCATTAAAAATGCTGAAAAAAACCCCTTGAAATGTTGACATAGCTGACAGTTTCCAATGAGAAGAGGGTCTTGTTGACATGAGTTGCACAGTTGTAAAGCTAGGAACTACAGAAACTCCTCGAATAGCTTAGTGTACTGCAGATATCTTTCCTTGTGTAGTTCTCAGTTAATAGTTAATGTAGCAAATAAGGTGCCATAGCAAAGGATGCACATGAGAAATGCTGCTGCATGCTACTCAGGATATGAAAATCTCACTTGGCTGACTCCTGCAGAAAGACAGGAGTTCATGTCTGAGTTCAAGGGTTTATTCAACTTGAAAACCCACTAGAAGTCAAAAAGGCTCTCGGAGCATTTAGTTGCAGCACAGACCCCAAGAATTGCGTGCCAGAAGCAGCTTTTTTCCTGCAGCTGCCATCTGCAAAGGGAAACATGGAATGATGTTCACTGGTCTTCATTCCCTTTTACCTTAGTACTTATTTCAGACATCTTATAAATAATACTTATTAATAATACTTAATACCCAAATACTTGTTTCAGGCACCATCTGGGATCAGATTTCCCTCTTGCTTTAGTCCCATTTCAAGAGGTTGTCTCTGAGTGCATTATAGGAGAGTGATCAAAAGCCAAACAGAAATACGTGTGATGTTTTCTCAAGAGCACAGTCAGCATGGAAAACAAACAAAGGGATGAGTGGAAGCAAACTGACAATTGCCAAAAGCAGTTGGGATGACTTAGTGTTTACTGTCTTGTATTCTGTGGAATTTTGGAATGCCAGTGGGAATGGTAGCTAAAGTAAAAGAAATGGTAGAGTAGACATTTATTAAAAATTTTGAATTCCGTGTAAATTGCCGCACTGAAATTTGAGTAAACCTCTGAATTATATTCATGGTTATTCGGTACAATGAAAAAAACACTTGAATTTTTCTCATTTAACATAGTTGTATTTTAGGATACTCCAAAGATGACTTAATGTTGGTTATCACGAAGTTGTGAGCTGCCTTGCTGTGTGTTGTAGAGGAATGCAGCCAGAGCTGAAGGGAAGTGGTACTTTTGGGGGAGAAATGTTATTATGAAGTTGAACAGTATTTTTTGCATGCTATATTATTAATCCAGTGTGGTTATACATCTCAGGAAACCTGGGCTACAGCTTCTTGATGGAGTTGGGGGTGTCTGTGATTTAATTCAGTACGATGTCCTAAAACCCTCAGCAACTGAAGCTAAGTTGAAACTATCAGTGTTCTTGTCAAGAACCAACTTAAATCTATGAAATCATTTAATCAGGTCATGTTATGTCAAGCAGTCTTTCACCAAGCTTTGCTTTTGTCCCTTAACTGATGTGAGATTTTCTCTCTGACCACCAGTGGCAGGGAGAGCACCAGCAGCGCTGTCATGTCTTCAGTGCTCGGTGGAATATGACATCAAAAAGCTCCTACTGAATTTCTGGGATGTTGAATCCGTGTAGATTTGAGTGCCAAAGTGTCTCTAAAGGCTGCAGTGCTGTGACTCTGCAGACAGGTTGTGACACATCCCATTCTCAGGACTGTGACAATACTCACTTCTGGGCCTGCTGCTATCAAAACCATTTCTCACTGTTTGATTGATGGTCTAATTGCAAAACACTGCAAAGCAAGTTAATGCCTTCTCCCTAAAGGATCATGTTAATTTCTGGCTCTTGTAATTTAGGTTGTGTATTTTGCCAGTCAAGAATGATAGTAGTGCTCTGAAGAAATTAATTATGTGTACAGTAGGTCTGTAAAGGTAGTAATTAGTACATAATAGTCTGTAACTACTGGGATTGTTCCAATACAGAATTCATTATCCATCCAACTTGCCTCAAGGGAAAACTTCTCCATCAGGGTTCTGTTGCTTTACAATTAGTCTTTTAAAATACAATTCAACAATCATTTTCATATGTTTTCAAAACTGAAGTAAGGTCTTAATAGCTGAGTTGTTTTTCACACTATGGAATTTGAGTGGGAAGGGACAAGGGAGAAGACAAACTTCCATGTAAGCTGTACTTGAACAAAACGTGAAAAATGTTCAGGTTTTGATTTTTACATGTGTAATGTATAGAAATCATGTGTGTAATGTATATATTAGTTATATAAATAATACATAATAGGCCAGTGCACCGTTGAACTTGAAGGAAAACTGCATTCATTTGCATTTGGGACTTGTAAATACAAAGCAGCAATTAGAACTTTTACAGAGTGGCTTTGAATTTGCTATGCTGAGAAGCCCAGATGTAATTCATCAGAGAACTTGAACATTTGCAAGCTTTCAGTGGATTCAGCTGTGGCCAGATTTCCTTGAAGACAGCTGTATTTGTAGGTGTGAGGCAGCAGGACTGAGTTCAAGTCAGAAATCTGAGGTGTTCAGCACGGCTAGCTCAGCACTGATGCTGCTTTGCCAACAGAAAAAGGAACTAAAACCTCTGAACTCATCAGGAATTTGCTTCAGGATTGCAAACTGCAGGTGGCTCCCTTGGTCTGCTGATTATTCAGGCTGTGTTTGTTCGGTTCCCTTCCCTCCTCAGCCTCTCCTTTGTGGAAGGGTGGGAATCCAGCCCGGAGGAGAATCAGCTTTGCAGCTCAGGGTCACCCAGTGCTGGGTGGCAGAGGAGTTTCATTTCCTTGGGTTCCCAGGTCATTGGTCTTCATTTGTTTCACACACAAGTGCAGCAGATTGGTTTGTTCTCATCTTTGGATGTGTTTGAAATTGTTGTTTTCCAGCAACAGCATAAATTCTACTACCATAAAGGAGTGAATTATTAGTTTACTATTTTTTACTTTCCTTTTCTTCTCCACTGGATTTATCCAGTAGGTAAACTCTCAAACTCAAGGGTGAAAAAAGCTTTGCATGGTTTAAATAAACTGTTGCCTGAAGTTATTACCATCTAACATAGATTTATATATGTGCATCTCTGTATTTTGATATACTTTATATATTTTAATTCTTAAATGATCTTAGAGTTATTTTGGAGTCCAAGTCTTATTTCGAGAGCGTCAGGACCCAGTTCATTCATCATGGGACAAAAGGACTGATGAGTGTAGTGTTCAGAAGGGTCTAAAAGAAAGCACAAGTTGCAATTAGGTAGGTAAAGTTTGTAAATATCAGTTCTTAATATTTTATTTCAAATAGCATTTTAATGCACTCACCTTTCAATAACTCAATTTCTATGTCAAAGGTAGTTTGTGGTATGGAATCACTAAGAAAACATAATTTATTTGGAGCAAACACTATGTAAAGTACATGTCCTGTTGGTGTGACCTACTAACTGTAGTTGTTTTCATCATGTGACAGTGAATGAAGAACATCCCAAATTAAAAAATCTATTTCTACTTTTTCAGAAGTCAGGCTCAGTGTCAGCTGTGCTATTGTCATTTATTATGTTCTTTTCCTGTGAAAATCTTACCTAAATACCACTTTCAGAATGCTCATGCTTAGGGTTGGACAGAGGCAGGAATTTCCCTGCAGGTCTCAGGCTGTGGCACACTTTGAGTGTCTCTTAGGACTCAGCTTTTTTAAAAAGCTTTGTGATAGCTTCATTAGGGGGAAAAATCAAGAGGGATGGATCAGATAAATGCAATTTTCCTATCTCCAGTTTGTAATTCCTGGAGCTTCCTTTATATCTGTAGCAGAATTAGGATTTTTTCAGAGCTTTGTTGTTCCATAAGAGGGTTCTGAAAGAGAAGTTTGGGCATTTATTTTAACCAGCATTACTTAAGGAATTGCAATAATTGCACTTGAGGAAATCAAATGCAAGCAGTGTGCAAATTCAGTTGTATTCAGATGAAGAGACAGGTGGGAAATGGTTTGAGGTCTGGGCTGTTTGAAGGCTGCTGTCATTATTCATGGATTGCTTGGAGGTACAGCATAATGTATTCCACACAATTGTGCAGCAGTGGAGTTCAATTCCAGAATCAGCATTCTGTCTGTTCTCAATCCAGGGCACACGCTCGGCCGTGGAGGCCATTCCTTCAGTTTTAGTTTAATTGGCAGTGCTTAACCCTTTTGGATCATCCCTGGGACAGGTGAGAGCTCCCTGCTGGAGGCTTGAGGAGCAAGGATGGGAAATGAGGAATCCTGCTGGTTACTGA